TCAAATAACATCTCTAAAACATGATTAGCACATTCACTGGAGGGAACAAGTTGGGTAGGGGTGATTTGTCAGTACAAAAGGGGTATTCGTTTGAACTGATTGGTTTAAGCCAAGAGGGGTGTACGTGCTGAACTACATTGTTTCCCCACACCATAAACTACTGGGAGGGTCATCTGGCATCCCAGGTATTTCCCTGTCTCATGCTGATTGGTGGCTGCTAGGGGGCTGCTATGGATCCCCACCTAGCCTGACTGAGTCAGGGACACCTGGCGCAGCAAATCTCTCCTGTTATTTGTAGATAAACAACTTAGCAGGGTGGGAATGTGCCTAGGAGTGCTCTGTGGGTTTTTCCAAGGACAAAGGCCATGTCCCTTCCTTGGACAGGCTTTGCTCTGAGATAGAGGCTGGTTTTTCAAAATCAAGGTGTGGCGGGGCCATATTCTCATTGATGGCTATAGAGGAGGATCCTTCCCTGCCTCTTCTGGCTTCTGGTGTGTGCCAGCAATCCTTGGAGTTCTTAGCAGTAACTACCTCTCTCCAAGTCATATGGCTGTCTTCTCCCTGTGTCTTCCCATCATCTTTCTTTTCTTCATGTCTGTATCCAACTTTCCCTTTTTTATAAGGAAACTGGATCAGGGTTCACCATAATTACTTCATTTTAACTTGATTACCTCTATACTACCTGTAATTAATTAAGGACATGTATGGACTTTTTGGGGATTAGGACTCATTTTACCTTTTTTGGGGGGGTTCACAATTTAACCTATAACCATCCTGGAGATGATCCTGAGTTATCTGGTGGGCCAAATCTAATCAAATGAGCCCTTAAAAGCTGAAAACTTTCTCTGGGTAGAAGCAAAAGAGAGGGCCACCAGAAGTCGAAGTCAGAAGCTCTGAGATGTAGGGGTCCCTGTGCAAAGGGTGGAGAGAAGAATGAGGAGCTAAGGATGTGCGTCCCCCCAACCCCAAGCTGACAGCTAGCCCAGAAATGAGGACCCTAGTCCAGCTGCAAGGACCTAGATTCAGCTATATCCACAATCTACCAAGGGGCTGTTTCTTCTGAAATCTTTCAGGAAGTGCTCAGCCAGCAGACATCTTGATTTCAGCTTCATAAAACCCTGACAAAAAAACAACTGAGTCAACTTAGACTTGTGACCTACTGAACAATAAGATAATAAATTTGTGTTGTATTAAATCACTAAATTTCTGGAAATTTGTTCTAGCAGCAATAGAAAAGGAATACAGTTTTTTTCCCATTTAGCTGGATCTTCACTGCCTCAAGCCCAAGAAATGGCCAATGCTAGGAGTTCCTTGGGGTCTCGTGTTCACCTTTCAGAGTCTTCGAATAATGGCAGCATTGCACAGCACTTGACTTTCCTGGTGCATTTCATGCATCACTTCATTGATCTCTCAGCAGCACTGAGAAAAGTAGTCTATTATCCTGCCCTTTTTGCAAAGGAGGATAAAGAAATTTAAAGAAGTTAAGTGATTTGCCCAAGGGCTCACAGAGCTAGGATTGCAAGTCTAGTTCCTTCTTCCAAATATGTAAGCTTTTTCCACAGCCCACGGCCACCTCCTTGTTCCAAAACATCTGTTGTCTGAACACAATTACAGCTTTTCAGTGCACTGGGCTCCCTTGTGAAGTCATGTGCTTCCTTCCTGTTCCTGAGAAATAATAAGCAGAAGCCACTGGACTGATTTCTTAGGATGCTGAGGAAAGACTGACTCCCTACCATTCATGGGATGACATTGGAAGGTACCTTCCAAAGCCCTTTTCAATTCAGGATCTACAGCAGGAAAGGAGATACGCTCTTGGTGCACATTTAGAGAAGAGGGAGCTCACTGGGAATTGTACCGGCCAGGGACAAAATCACAGAGGAGGCAAGGTCTGAGTTAGACTGAGCAGGACTTTGAGAGAAAGGCTGGGTTAGGGTTTCTGATGTGATTGCAGGGTACAACTTTTGCCCACGCGTTCCTACTCCAGTTGCTTTGGTGAAACTTGCCGGCAGGAAGTGGGTCAGACCTGAGGTTCACAAACCCCTCAGCCTCTAGGCCTGTCTACCCACCTCACTCCCAAGTCCATCTTGGTGATTGAGCGTACATGGTGTGGTGAGAGGGGAGAGGGGTAAGGGAACTCCATAGGCCGAGAATAACTTTCTGACCTGCTTCACTTCCTGTGGCTTCCTGATCACCCCACTGTAACTCTCATTCACTCTGTCTTTCTGTGGGTGGAAACCAAAACAGCTTGTCTTCTGAAGGCAACTGTTTGCTTATTAAAGATTCCTTAGCAATTTCTACTTGTTCTTCTTGAGCCTGGGGTGTTCCTTCCTCCATCTTGTTCCCTGCATCGCTGAGATAACTGATCATATGTCTTTGTAGAGCCAAATATCTCTTGGGAACCAGGAAAGGCAGTAGAAGCCACTTTGCTCCCTTCCTTTATTCTGGTGTCTTGAGGTGCTCTTCTCCTGGGGAGCTCTTTCTAACATAGTGCACAAGTGCCATTATAAGACTCTGGAAGTGTTGGCCTAGCAGCCTTCAGCCTAGGAGGCAGCATGGCTTTGTGGAGTGAGCTGAAGCATTTATTGAACATCTGGCCCTGGACTAGGCCTTGGCACTGAATGAGACAGCTGGAAGATCATGTGTATGACTTGGTTCTGCCATTTGCTAGCTCTGTGACCCTGGTCTGGTCCCTTTACTTCCGTCTTCACAGTCATGTCTTACAAAGATAAAAACAGGGGGGGCACAAAAACCCTAAAAACCAAAACCAAAGCAAAACTAAAAAGACATAGAAAGTGTGTTTTTATGCTGTAAAGCTCTTTGGAGGTTCTATTGGTTACTATTCCCTCATTTGACCCTCTCTGTCATCTTGTGGGACATGCATGGCAGGGCTGCTATACCCATTGAACAGATGACTAAGTGAAACACAGAGAGGTTGGTGAGCAGAAACAGGAGCTAGATGTCTGATGTATTAGCTATGAATTTATTCTAGGTTATTGTATGATTGTAGCCACCAGGACTCCACTGGGTGATAATATCTGTTGACATTTTCTACAACAGCGCTCAATAACTAACATTTATCAGGCACTTAGTTAAATCCTTTGATGCCTTTGATTATCTCCACTTTCCAGATGAGAAAATCAAGACTCAGAAAGAATAAGTAGCTTCCTCAAAGTCACTTTCCTAAGCAGAGGCAGAGCTAGGATTCAAATGCAGGCACATCTGACCCCAGAGTCTGGACTGGTTACCTCCAAGCTATCTGCTCATTCAGTTGGGCATCTTAACCTCACATGCCTTGTAATGCCAGATTCGTGGGACCCCAATAGACCTCCAGGAGTCAAATCCGATGCAATTACCCAAGAGTCTTTATTGCAAGCTCGAGCCTGAATTCACAACTGTTTCCGATGCAGCGGTCCAAGGGAGTGAGTCTCGGTCCTTTATTCAGTGAGATTTTATAGGTTTTGGGGGGATACTCTATGCGTCACAACATCACACAGCAAATCATTCCATACCGCAGGAAAATCAAACAACAACTTTTAACATTGATTAGCACATTCACTGGCGGAAACAAGTTGGATAGGGGTGATTGGTTAGTACAAGAGGGGGATTCCTTTGAACTGATTGGTTTAAGCTATGAGGGGTGTACGTGCTGAACTACATGATTTCCCAATATGTTATCAACCACCATAAACTACTGGGGGGTCATCTGGCATCCCAGGTATTTTCCCTGTCTCATGCTGATTGGTGGTTGCTAGGGGGTTGCTATGGATCCCCACCTAGCCTAACTGAGTCAGGGACACCTGGCTCTGCAGATCTCTCCTGTTATTTGCAGATAAACAACTCAGCAGGGTGGGTATGTGCCTAGAAAGGCTCTGTGGGTTTTTCCAAGGGCAAGGGTCACACCTCCTTCCTTAGGACAGGCCTTGAGGTAGAAGTTGCTGTTATTTATTGATTTTCAAAAATGGAGTCACATCAGTTTCTCTGCCTGAAATAACAAAGTGTCCAAGAGAGCAGTGCTGAGGAATGCTGGTAGTAATCAAATCTGTATTTCCCCTGTAGAGGTGTGATCAGGCGGGGCTGGGCATGTAGGCATCAACAAGTGGCTTCCTTAATAGGTGAAATGCAAGAAGAACTTAGGTTCTAGAGCAGGTAGGTCATTGCCATCCCCACCCCCAAAAGTCTTAGGTCATTAACGTGGGACCAGTGAGAAGCTCTCAAATGTTTAATTAGTGGATTGAAAAGATTCCATTTGAGTTTTGAAAAGATCACTTTAATGGTGAAGAATACATTTTAAGAGTAATATTAAATCTTGGTTCATTGGTTTTATCAATGAATGTGTTGCTTAGATAAATTTATGAGAATTAAAGATAAAGAAGAGAACATTCTTTAGCCTAGCATTATGGGATGAGTGGGTATTGTTTGATGGGCAGGATTTGAAGCTTGGAAGGGCAGAGGCTGGTTTGAGGACTGAGGGGACTTGGAAAAGGAAGGCTCTGACATGTGGGTGCTGTTGGAATGAAGATGGGTACTTGAACTGCAGCAAGGGAGTTGGTTGGAGGAATCAATGCAGCTATGGCCTGAGGGCTAGCTGAGCTGTTTACGTCCCAGCCACAAAGGAAATTAGTACCCAGAGACATCTCCTGGTCTAGGGTGGAACAAGGATCACGTTCTACTTGTTCTTTCTCTTTCTGGAGTCTTGAGGTTGGGAAACAAGAGGGACAAAGCTGCTCTTCACTGACGTCTGGGAGGAGAAACAAGGAGAAGCAAGGCAGGGTCCAGACCACGGGAGGCATCAGGAAAGTTATTCCTACCAACAGGTTACTTTTTGTGCTTTGTGGCAGCCCGCAGCAGGAGCACAGTCCTGGGAGTCCAGACACGTGGGTGCCATGGGCTTGTCTAACCTTGTGAAGTACATTGTTACTTCCTTTCTGGCCCTCAGTTTTTAAACTGTGACTGGAGAAAAGGTTCAATAGAACTATTGGTTGCAAGTGATAGAAACACAGTTAAAATTAGTTGAAAACAGGCATTTATTGGCTCATGTGATTGGCAAGTCCAGGGGAGTTCTGGTTATGGGCAAGTCTGGGTCTGGGGGGTCACATGATTTCTTCTGGGGACTCTCTATTTTCTGGCTTTAGTTTCCTCTGTGATGCCTTCTATCATAGGCAGACTCCCACTTTGAGATTTCAAGGTGACTGGCAGCTGTAAGGCTAGCTGTTCACCAGCATAGCAACCCACAAGAGAGCCTTGGTGAGAAGTTCCTGTGGGGATCCTGGCGCTGGTGCTGAGTGGTCTTGCTTGGCCTTGTGCCCATCTTGGTCCTTCTCTTATTGGCAGGCTGGGGTCACATGAGCTTCCCTAATGTTGAAAGCAGAGTTAATGCCACAGAAACCACAAGTAATAAGAATGGGATGGGTGTGATTCCACAAAGGAACATGAACATATGGATAACAGAAAAAAGGGGATTGAATGTTAGGCAGGCAAAACCATCTATCCACACCCTCCTCAATACGCAAGGGAAGGTCTGACTGTTTTTAAATGAAGCCAGGGATCTGGGTTACTGACAGTGGGCTCCTTTAAACTGTGTTAGGGTCACAGTATTCTTTGAGAATCTGATGAAGACCACAAACTCCTCCCTAGGAAGACACACAAGTCAGACTTTTGGGTGTCATGGCTCCTGAGGCTGTACACAGCCTCTCCTGCTCCCTTCCAGGACCCCCAGCCAACCATGCTGACCTCCTCACTATTCCTTGCACTCACCATGCTTCCTCCCTCCCTTGAACTTGTGGGATGGCCTTGAACTTGCAGCTCCTACTGACCTCATTAATGCCTCCTGTATGCATGTTCCCATTGCACAGTGAACCTTTTCTTGATCCCTGTTTTTACTATAGCTTTATATTTTTTTTAGATTACTGATTTTTTCCCTTTTTTTTTGGGTGCATATAATTATACATAATGGTAGGATTCATGGTTACATAATCAGACAGGCACATGATATAACCATATAATTTGGTCAGTATCTTTCTTCAAGCTTTACATTTTTTATATACACAATAATTTGTTTTATATTTTATAAATAACTAGAAAAGAGGAGTTCAAAGACTTCAAACACAAAGCAATAATAAGGACATGAATCTGTTAATTACCTTAATTTGATCAGTTTATACATAAGTTGAAACAATCACATTATATCTATTATTTCATGTATAATATTATATGTTTATACAAATTTTTAAGGAGATGGAAATATTCACTACATTTGATCATTATACATTATTTACATGTATCAGCTTATCAAACTATACCCCATAAATAAAAATAATTAATTTAAAAAATAATTTTGTATGATTATTTTTGACAAATATCTGTCTTTCTTACCTAAATGGAGACTCCATAAGAGGAAAGAAGAGTTGGTTTTGTTTCCTTTTGTAGCCATAGAGTGTCTGGTACATATTTGGTGCCCAGTTGTAGGTTGGCAAATGTATATCTTCAAACATTTTTCCTGAGTTTTTAGTGGCCTCTATATCTCTGGAGTCATTCTCTGAACTTGATGTGAAGGATCTCAGAATAAAAAAAGTGAAAAAATCAGAGCATTAGACAGCTGACTCAAAGCAGGGCCATGCAAATCAGAATCTCTCAGGCCAGCTTTCTTGACATGATGCTCTTGACTTATACCGGTATCTCCTAAGTGGAGTCCCATGATTGATTAGTTGTGGGTAAAAATCCACGGTCAAACAAATTTGGGAAACGCTGTCTGATTGAATATATCCTCCTTTTAGAGAGTGAAAGCATGCATTAATAATAGTAGAATGTATTTTAATGATCATTAGTATAACTACAATTTATTGAGGGATTACTATGTGGTGGATCCTATGTTTGTCAACTTTCTGCACTATAATAAATACAGATAAAGAGAAAAGATTTATTTTGGCACATGGTTTCCAGAGGTCCCAACCCATAATCAGTGGCCCCTTTGCTTTCAGCCTGTGAGGCAGCACATCACTGCAGGAGCACTTAGTGGAGCAAAACTGCCATCTCACAACCATAAAGGAAAAGAGGGACAGGGGAAGGAACTGGAGTCTCACAGTTCCCTTCAAGGGCATAATTGAAGTAATCTGAAGACCTTCCACCAAGCACCACCTCTAAAAGGTGCCATTGCTTCCCAATAGCACCAAGCTTTTAACATATGGGTCTTTGGGATCATTGTAAACTATAGCGGTACCTTACGAGGTCCTTCACGTATGTTTTCACATGTTGTCTCATAATAGCCTCATGCAGCAGATGCCATCACCTCCCTATATGAAGAGAAGTGAAACCTTGGAGGGATTTAGAATCCTAAACTACCTTTTAGGAAAAAGTAGATTTTTGGACTCAAACCTGGGAAATCTAATTTGTGTCCAAGCTTTTTAATTATTGAAGATGTGATACATCCTACAGTAGGATCATCTGACCTTCATCTAGCTAAACTTTGTTGATCACAGAAACTTTTGTCCTCTCAAAACACTCAGAAGTATCCCAAGGATTACCCTACTTGGGACACACCAGTGAAGTGTCACCTCATGTTGACAAGGACTAAACTGGAAGAATGTAGACCTAGCACTACCTCAATTCTACAGATATTTGCCGAGCACCCCCTGTACTAGGCGTGGTGCAAGGAGTGCCAGGAACGTGGGCACAAAGTTCCATATCTCACTGCACAGGAGCACATGGTGCTCCCGCCTGTCCCAAGCCCAGACCAGAGACTTGCCCTCGGGCTGCCCCACCTGCAGTGCTTCCATTGCTGGTTCCCACTCAGATCACCGGGCTGTATCTTCCCTCCGTGGAGTGCTGCTTTGTGTCACGTTCAGGAATTAGTTCATAGCAAAATGCCCATTCACTCTGTAAATGTTTATCTAGGACTTTCTGTGGCCCCTAGCCCTGTGCTATGAATTGGGAATATAGAGGCAAACATGGAAATACTTTCTCATGGGAGAGATGGATCAATGCTTGAGAAAACCACAATAAACCAAAGTACAGGACAGACTGAGAGGCACCCTCATTAGAACACAAACGAACCTGCTGTGGGAGGTTTGAGATACAAATGGTTCCTTTCTTTGTTTCATTAAGAATTAATTTTGGTTTGGGATTTAAACTTGTGCTTAAATGATGTTGGAACATCTGGACTAGCCATTTACCAGCCTCCAATGTATTTGACTGTCAGGGCAGGGAGCAGCCTGGTGCTCCTAAGCATCCTATGGAATTATGGAGGTATGTGGTAGGAATGAGGTGACTCCTCAAAGTGCTCCCCTGGGCTGTGCTGGTTATAGTTAGGCAGTGCCTGCATGTATGGAGTGCCATGGCTCTGTACCCCACACACCATCCGCTTAGCCCACAGGATGCCTTCCTAATGTCCTGGGATCCCTCCTATGAACCTCAGGGACAAGCATATACCCCACTTTCCAAATGTTCTTTTGTCCCCCCTGTCAAATGGAAGTAGTGATTCCTCCTCCCAAGGTAATTAGAAGGATTAAATGAGATGAAATGCATGAGAACAGTTTTACAAATGCCACATATTGTCATAGACCCACCAGGGACTTGGAAGAGTCCTACTGGAGGAGAAGAAGAGGATTACAGCCCCTTGGCACCACTTTGGTCTGGTGTGCAACGTCAGGTGAGGCTGGAATTCTTACATGGTTCCTGGAAGCTTATGGACCTTCACCTCTGGCTCTTTGCTGGTGTGTTAAATGAGATGCACAGTATGAAGACTTTGGTGTGGCATCTGTCACTAAGTGATAGTGGTGGGGCTTCTGCTATTCTTGTTCTGTCCCTCTACCCGTAAACTCCTTCTCTTTTTCCTATTTCTTCCAATGGCTTCTTCCCTTGCTCCTTCCCTTCCTCTCCAGGCCCCTTTCTCTCCCTCCCTCTTTGCCTCTTGCCCTCCTCCCTCCTTAAATTCTTACTTCCTTATTCATTTGATAAACACAGGAATAATACAAAGGTGAACAGAAAGCAGCTCTGGGTTGAAGTGGTATGCAGCCTTGAATATATGTAATTTTAAGCAAAAAATTATTATTTTAATGGAACTTGGTCTTAAATATACGTGGCATAAAATTTGCCATATTAACTATTTTAAAAGCGTTGCATTCAGTGACAGTTGGGGCACTTACATCATTGTGTAGCCATCCCCACCATCCATCTTCAGAACCTTCTTTCCTTGTAAAACTGAAACTCTGTCTCCATTAAGTGCTAACTTCCCACCTTCCCCTCCCCCAGCCCCTAGTGCCCACCACTCTCCTTGCTGTCTCTATGAATTTGACTGGGGACTTCATACAAGTGGAATCATTCAGCGCTGTCCTATTGTGCTGAGCTTATTGATTCACTTTGCTTAATGTCCTCAAGGTTCATCCACATTGCACTATGCACTCGTATTTCCTTCCCTTTTAGGGCTGAGTAATATTCCATTGCACAGCTAGACCACATTTTATGTATCTATTCATCCATTGGTGGATACTTCGGTTGCTTCCACCACTTAGCTATTGTGAAAATTGTTGCCATGAATATAGTGTAATGCCACATACCTGTCACTGTACTGGGACTGCAGTGGGGGGTGAACTTGGTCCCTATGTTCTGTAGGTGTAATTAAAAAACAAACAGGCCAATAAATGCATAAACACAAGAACGTGATACATCCTGTGAAGGGAAAAAGCAGCACTCTGAGATGAGATAGTGGAGGTTGGGTGGCCAGAGTGAGGCAAAGATCTCAGGAAGAGGCCTGAAGGGGGGTGTGTGGAGAAGTGGGGTGAAGCCAGGAGGGTTCGGGCTGAAGGAACAGCATTTATGAAGTCACCAATGTGCAGCAGAGCTGGAAAGTTGCAGGAGTGGAACCAAATTTAGTCCTTAATTGCCACTGCACTGTGCCCTCCCCATGGAGCATCCTGCCAACCTCCAAGACCAGACCACTGAGTACTTCTCCCCCTTCCCTTTCTCTACCCTGGCTCTTGTTCTAATTGATTGCAACTTTGTCTTTGCTCACTTGTTTATCCCACTGGCCAGTGAGCTGTCTGAGAGCAGGAACTACTTGATTTTATTTTCAGGCTGTCCTTGCATATGCTGGTGGGTGTCAGTGACTCTCAAACTGATTCTCCTCAGAATGAGGTCAGCTCTTTCAATTGTAGTACCTAAGACTGTTGAAGCAGGGAGCCTCCCATCCTCAGGGGCCTGCAGAGTTGGGCACAGAACAAGCATTAAAGACCTTGGGCTCAGCAGGAAATCCCTTCCTCTGTGGGGAGGGGGGCATAAGGTATAACTGCAGACCTTAGTGTGCAGAGCTGCCTTATTGGCTGACTGAAGTGCTTCTGCTCCGTGGCCTACCAAGCAGGGAATGTGGAAAGCATCTCCTGCTCAAAGCTAGGCCAGATGTGGCCAGGCCTCCCAGTGCATTTGCCTTGGCCCCCCAGATGTGCAGTGTCACTGCGCCAGCCCAGCTGACTAGGCCAAGTTCCAGTGCACAGCACTCAGGGGTTTGTGGCTGTGAGCCATGCACCGCCACCTCTCCTGTTTGCCTTGGTAGATTCCCAGCTTCCTCTCACATGATTTCTGTTTCTGTTTACTTCTCCCTCTGGCTTCCCTTCCTGCAGCGTCCCCATGCCAGTTTGAGTGTGTATTCTACTGTATTAGACTCAGCCTCTGCATGGGCCCCTTCCTGGGTCTTCCTTCTGGGGTGTTTCCTGTTTTTGGTGAACCCTTCTGGCCCAGGCTCCTCACCTCCACCTCCAGACCTGTGAATGGAGGTCTGTACACTTCGTCATTTTATTTTGGGACAGTTTTTGCTAGGTTGCCCAGGCTGGTCTCGAAATTAGAATCCTCCTGCCTCAGCCTCCCAACCAGCTAGGATTATAGGCACCTACTATTGCACCCAGCACATTTTATCATTTTAAATCATGACCTTGTATCTGTAATTACTCCATCCAGTGACAGGAGAGGACAAGCTCCAGAGGGGCCAGAAACCAGTTAAACTTGAAGTCATGGGACAAACATTCCAGAACGGACAACCCAGGGTTGACAGGAAACAGATGAGAGAGGCGGGGATGTGGGGAGGTAGATGTGAACTGGGAACCCAGACCTGGGGATTTGAGGGGAGGGGAGGTATTTGCTAGAGGTTGAATTGTGTGTGCCCCACCTCTGAAATATTTCTAAGTCCTAATCGCCAGGACCTGTGACTGTGACCTTACTTGGAAATAACACTTTACGGAAGTAATCAAGTTAAAATGAGAGCATTAGGGTGGGCTGTAATCCAGTAGGACCTGGTGTCCTTATACGGGGTGTGTGGAATTAGAGCACAGAGGCAGACGTGGACATAAGGGAGAACTCAGTGGGAAGGTGAGGACAGAGATAGAGTGATGTAGCAGATGCCAGGGAGTGTTAAAATTGCTGGCAAATCCGCCAGGAGCAAGAGAGAGGTTTAGAGTCCCCTCACAACCCTCAGAAGGAAGTGAGCTTGCCCACACCTTGATTTTACTTTAGGCCTTTAGAACGAAGGCCATGCATTTCTGGTTTTTTGTTTGTTTGTTTGCACTAGGGCT